AATATATTTACATAAATTATAGTAAGCAAAATGTTTTTGGACGTTAGTCCAAAACGGTCGCGCATTGGAGCGTGCAGCAGGTGTCAAAACATTTCTGAAGCATATATCGAAAACAGTTTATGGAACGTTAATTTGTATCATCCTAAAATAGTTGAAGCAGCAACCATAAAAGCCTGCTCGTAATTTTTATTATTTAAAAACTTGGGATAAAATGGAATTATAATTATTTTGTATAAATATGCTAAATTTTAAGATTTATTGCAAAATATTCAAATAGATTTACCATATGAATAGAATAGGCATAGAATAGGCTAACTTTTCGTTTCTCGTGGGTGTCGTAAGTGGCGACTAAGGGAACTTAATGGTCGAAGAATGGGCAGCAGCGTCTTTCTTTAAACATCACCAAAACCTATCTGCGTTTGCCGCATGCCAAGTGTAACAACTACTGACAAAATTTCCTCAATAATGGGAGGCCAATGTTATGCAGTGGTCAGTGAACGGCTGATTTGATGAAACAGATGTGCATGAAACACTCAGTTTATACTTTATACAATTGTTAGAATTTTTTACACACATTAACCAACATGTTCATCCATTACTTTATTATAGCTCCTTTTTTTCCCATGTTACTACTGTCACGATTGAAGTCACTGTTTTTTTTTTATAAGTTTAACCAAAGTAGCCATCTTACAGGTCAGGTCGTATTCAAATAACACTATATACTTACATAAAAATTTGTGCGATCACTATGTCTATATACTGACATGAGGATATAAAAACCACTTGCGAGAAGTTATATTACTTGTTCGGCTACAGCTATAAAAACTTTACTTACTTTATGGTTCCGCGCAAGTGGCTTATTGCAATAAAAAAAGGTAACAGTCTGAGTGTATGTACGTACGATATGGTTTCATTCCTTAACATTCATATAATGAGTGATCCTGCTTAAAATCCTGTGAGATTTCTTGTATACCTTAATTTATTATTTAATAATAATAAATTTATTTATTTGTGAAAAGTTATTTCTTTGACATTATTTATTAGTTAGCCAAATGCGTGATTTTAATAAGTAAGAGGGTAAATTATCGTAAAGTGAGCTGTTTCATAATTTTCTAATGGACCAAGTTAAAATTAATGATGGGTAATTAAACCGCTATATACCTAATACAGGTTTAACGATCATTCCAAGCTAAACATTAATTCTGTAGGTAATAAATTTAATAATTTCTTAATTTAATATTAACTTCTTTAATAATGTTTATTTTTAAACCCAATGTTTATGACCACTGGGAGTGCTGTCAAAACGGAAACCACGCTGGGTACTTAATGTATTATGTAATAAGAAATAAGCAATATAGTAGATGTATACTAAAGACAAAGGGAAAGCAATCAGAATTAATAATTGTTCATCAGAACATACAAAGTTTTCCCGGCAGCGAGTTAATTATACAATTATTTTTAGAAAAGTATAATATTGATATTGTCTGTTTCACAGAACATTGGCTTAAAGAAAGCAATATGATGTTCAATTTAAATAATTATAACGTTGTCAGCTGCTTCAATAGAAAGTCAGTTAACAGAGGCGGGTCTATGATAATTGCAAGAAATAATATTAAAGTAAAGGAACGTGCTGACATTGTTAGACTTTCTATTGAGTGTTGTATAGAATTATCTTGTATAGAACTAGAAAATTATATCCTTATATGTGTGTACAGGCCTCCTAATAGTGATTACAATGTTTTTGAAGGGGTGATGGAGGATATTTTAAAAAAAGTATTTAATAGTATTAAAAAAATTATTGTATGTGGAGATTTTAACGTTGATATTCTTTGTAACACACCCACATGTACAAAAATTATTAGTTTATTTCAGTCATTTGATTTATGTCATGTCTTTCATGAACCCACTCGTGTAACTGCCACGTCTGCTACTTGTCTTGACAATGTTTTTTGTAACTGCGAGTATACAGAAAAATTCATAATAAATAAACTTCCTTCAGATCACTGTGGTCAAGTTGTTAAGTTTAGCAGTCAAATCAATAAAGTCAACAATAATAAAAAATCAAAAAGACAAATAAACGTTTACAATATTAATAAATACAAAAGCGCGATTAAAAATAAATTGGATTTGCTGTTACAATCTAGTAATAATCCTGATTATCTTTACACCAAGCTAATTAATATTTTATCCGGAGAATATGAACAATTTTTCAAGAAAAAAGAAGTTCATGTTAAATCTAAATTCACGGAATGGGCAACAGTAGGAATACTTAAAAGTAGAAATATTTTGTTTGATTTATACGATCAAAAAAAATATCGATTTGATGACAAATTCACCACTTATGTAAAAAATTATTCTAAAATTTTTAAAAAAGTTTGTATTATGGCTAAGTCTAATTATTTTAATAAACAAATTAAGCAGTCTTCTGACAAAATTAAAACCATCTGGAGCATTATAAATAAAGAAACTGGAAGATCTAAAATAGCCTGTAATCAATTTACATTAAATTATGATAATAAATTAATAACAACAACAAAAGATGTAGTTAATATTTTTGAAGATTTTTTTGCTAATATTCCGATTGATATTACATCTTCTCTGGACTCATCTCAATCTCGAGCAAAAAAATTACTAGAGACTAATATCGGTTGTTGTTCTTTAAGATTTAAATTTTCACATGTTAGCCCCTTTCATATCATAAAAATATTCAAACAGCTAAATTTAAAAAATACGGAAGACCTTTGGGGCATGTCTGTAAAAGTAGTTAGTTCTTTCATAGATATTGTTGCTCCATATCTAGCCACTATTTTTAATAAATGTATTGATAATGGCGTTTTTCCACATTTAATGAAATTTAGCAAATTAATCCCACTATTTAAATCAGGAGATAAATTTGAGCCAGGGAACTATAGACCTATATCTATTTTGCCAGTTCTAAGTAAGGTGTTTGAAAAGATAATGTTAAATCAAATGTTACATCACTTCAGGGTTAACGGACTGCTTCACAGTCAGCAATATGGTTTCACCGCCGGCAAGTCTACCACTGACGCAGGTGTTGCGCTAATGACACATATTTTCGAATCTTGGGAGAGGTCACAGGATGCACTCGGAGTTTTTTGTGACCTATCAAAGGCATTTGATTGTGTGGATCATAAAACGCTTTTGTACAAGCTCGAACATTATGGTATAAGAGATAATGATCTAAAATTAATGAGAACTTATTTAGAGGATAGGGTTCAAACTGTAGATATTGACGGTGTAAAATCTAAGGGAGCTAATATTAAGATGGGCGTTCCACAAGGGTCAATCTTAGGCCCCTTTCTCTTTTTAATCTACATAAATGACCTTCCCTTTATGGTAGAGAAAATTGCAGATATAGTGCTGTTTGCGGATGATACTTCGTTAGTGTTTAAAATTGGACGTCAAAGTAATCAATTAGACGATGTAAATTGTGCTATGTCTGCAATATTAAATTGGTTTACATGTAATAACCTATTATTAAATTCCAGCAAAACAAAGTGTATAAAATTTACACTTCCTAATGTAAGACTAATAAATACACAGTTATTGCTTAATGACGAAATAGTAAATTTTGTTAATGATACAGTTTTTTTAGGTATAACAGTGGACTCGAAATTACAATGGGGGCCCCATATTTCAAAATTGGCCAGTAGACTCAGTTCTGCTGCATATGCAATTAGAAGAATTAGGCAATTAACAGACGTGGCGACGGCTAAACTTGTATATTTTAGTTATTTCCATAGCATAATGTCTTATGGCATACTGCTGTGGGGTAAAGCAGCCGATATAAATACTATATTTGTTTTACAAAAGAGAGCCATACGTTCTATTTATGGTATGGGTTCAAGAGAGTCATTACGTCAGTGCTTTAAAGACTCAAATATCCTCACAGTTACTTCACAATACATTTATGAAAATATTATGTATACACGGAAGAACTTAGCGAGTTTTAAAAAACTCAAAGACTGTACAAGTAGAAACTTACGCAATATAAATAAGCTTATTTTACCTAAATGCCGTCTGCACAAAATCAGTAATTCATTCTATGGTAATTGCATAAGATTTTATAATAAACTGCCGGAATCTGCATTAAATCTGACAGAGAGGCAATTCAAATCTTATATTAAACAATTTTTATGTAAGAAAGCCTATTACAGGATAGACGAATTCATAGATGACAACATATCAAGTAAATAATTAGTTTATTAGCATACAACGTTATAATTTTTTTTTCTCATTGCTTTCTTGATTTAATTGATTAATTTTAGAAATATGAAAGCGTAGCGGTTTTTTGTATTAATTGCCGCATGCATTCTTATGTAAAATGTGAATACTATAACTATCAGATGGCAATTGTGAGTAGCTTTGACGTGGTCTAGTGTTTTGAGTAGTCATGCTCACTAAAATGTCCAGACTTGTGGCGGCGTGGTGGGCCGGGTCATTGGGCTCCCTAAAATATGGTCGAGCGCAGTGATGGCTGGCTCATCCGTCATACTCGTGAACGGGTGCTGCTTGTAGGGACTGGTCTGCTCTAATCACTATGACTGATTTCCTCTTATTAATTGTTTAACCAGTTGGTTATGTATTCAATTTTTTTTTTCTTTTTGAGTATTTAATTGAATTAGTGCTAATTGGTGGTTTGTATTCACACAATTAAACTTAAAAATGTAAAATAATAATAAAATTATTTAAAAGAGCATCACGCAAGTTTCTTGCTCGTTCTTCTTGTGATGAGACAGCTTTCCGAACGAGCGGTAAATTAAAAAAAAATGTAATGACTTTTCAAAAGTGCTTCAATGTAAGTTTATTTGAATAAATGATTTCTATTCTATTCTATTCTATTCTAATATACCTCTATCAAACATTATATTCGTTGACAACTATTATCACATATTATCAATTAACTACCAAATATGTATAAATTTAAAATAAGTCCCTGGAAGATTTTAGTTTTTACTAGATTTTTTTAATATCTGCAGGTATTCACCAAATATCGTCGTACATCATAGCAACGTACCTGCTTATGGTAAGCGTTCTAGTCAACACTATTATATTCTTAGTATCTTTTACCCGTAACTTCGATCACGTAATTTTTTTGACTGATATAAATAGTAGTGTATACTTATTTATTATTTATTTACAAAACAGCTTATCAGGCATTACATTTTTTACCAATTCGCACGACAAAGCCTCATAGACATTATTTTACATAATGTAAAATAAATTTTATATTAATTAATTGACACCAGAGATGAACTCCATTGCCATATGGAACTATTCATCAGTGCAAGTATGATAATTTTTTTTTTACCTCTTTATTGCACCATAAATAAAAATATACTATGACAAGTGAATAATTCAAGTGAAATACAGTAACAAAAATACAGATTAAAATATACACATAAAGGTACAAAAGGCGGTCTTATCGCTAGGGCAATCTCTTACAGTATAATAATGTTCTTCTCTATCCCAAATAGTACGTGTATAATAAATTTTTTGACCATTGACTAAGCTATTTATGTTTTTTTTTTGTACTACTATAGTGGCAAATAAGCATTCGTCCGAGGGTAAATGAATTCACTGTAGCTTATGGAAGCCAGTAACACTAAGGATATCATATGCGTGTTGTTGACCCTTAAGTAGTCTCTAGGAAAAACCTCGGCAAGTTGATCATTTCACAGCCTACCCGTAAGTGTTCATGAGAAAAAGATTCCCTAAAACAACATCATAACCTTCAAGAAAAGAGCATATTCCTTTCTAAAAGAATCTTTTCCTCTGGTGTTGCGAGTGATCATGGGTTGCGGTGGTAACTTACCATCAGATGAACCGCATGCTCGTTTGTCCCCTGTGTAAAAAAAACTGCACTGTACGTGACGATTCTGATTCTATGGTTTGAGAATCGATTCCCAGCCAATGGCGAGCAGTGCGAGGATGAAAGGTGTTTGTAGCCATCATGTTGAAGAGTTCTACAGAACAAAATCTATAATATAAGTATATTATGTTACTAAAGATCTGATATATCGTAACCAAAATTATATATGTATAAATATATATAATTCGTTCCCACTGCTTATGCACGTCAATAAATAAAAAGAAAAGTAATTGTTGGACAGTCCCTAAAAATTGGCTTCTGTGTGGTTTCCTAATTGTTGTCACATTCAATTTTATGAGTTCAATTCCCACAATAAAAAGATACGCGTGTTGAATGTTTTGTATGAGAAATATGTCCTTTCGCATTTTATCATTTTTGTGATCTTAGGTTTAAAATTCTATATGTATCATGGGTTCTACTATCAAAAATGGTTAGATAGCAATGTAAATCATATAAGTAATGTTATTTTAAAAATAGTATACTTCACTCATTATTTTTCTATGTATTATGTATTATGCATTTTTACTAATATTTTAAATGTCAAAGTGTGTTAGTTTATTTGTTACCACTTTGCGCTTTAACGGCTCAACTAACCCTTTAAAAGGCCTCTCAGCACAGCTACAAATTCTCCGATATTGCAAATACTCATAGATGGCGATAGTCACTTTTTTTTAACGGGTGAGAAAGAAATAGTAACCTCATCGTGCATATAGCGTATAGGCTATCGGTATACGCTGGGCGGAGTACTAGTGAGGGGTAACAGGTGAGGATAAAAGAAGGTCAGTTAGCCCATCGTGACGAATATCATAGAGATTAACCACAATGGTTTCCAGGGAGAACCGCATGGAGGTCGATCTGATAGGATATTGCCAGCAATGGAAGTATTAGACCTTTCTACTACTAACAATCAATTTCTATTACTAACAATGCCTTTTTCCTTAACGGTAGTCACTTACTATTAGATAAGCCACATGTCCGTTTACCTCCTGCGTTACAAAAAAATTATAATTGATCATATCACGTGGATAAAGTTGCGGGTAAAAGTAAATAAAATGTAACACACTAATCTATTTACAAAGCTATCTAATATCTATATGCATGTATATGATAACACGAGTACTGCTTCCTACAGGACAGGCTCAGCCTAGTGTAGGAGGCAATGATAAATTCTGTGCTAATACAAACATACTTTGTTAAATAAATAAATAAATAAATAAATAAATAAAAGCTACCTACTTAGTAAGTTTTCTAGATATCTGTGTATAAAATTATCATATCTACACACAACAAAACTCTATCGAAGTGTAAACACGATCGATATGACAGGTAATCGGATTTGTTGGCCATTCCCCTGTCGTTTCAGGAAGTGACCCGGCCGTATGGAAGAGTGAACGTAACAATTGTTTATTTCCATTTACTACTGCTATATAGCTGCTCGTAATATAAGCAATAGAATACTTATATAAAATAATATTTAATATACATAATTCTGATTGAAATAATTTAAATAATATTGATATGATTAAAAATTAACACTTGAGGGTTTTTGTACTGTTTTCCTTATCACAGAACAATTCTATTCTTGTGATGATTATGTATTTGAATGATTATAAAATGAGGATAAGTCAGGAATACCTACATGAATTCAAAGATTAATGTTCATAGGATTAAAACCAAAATTATATCAGTACTTCTCAATGCTAATAATTCTAGATTGTGATTAACGTGATTTTATCGAAAAGTTTATGACAAACCACAACAATTAAACCAAAACAATCAAACACAAAACAAACAAAAAAGTTTAAACAACAACATTTATAACAAACAAATGAAACGTAGTCTCAGGATATAAACTAATATATCAATGGAAGTCTCACTATTAATTCAAAATTATCAATTTCAAGTGTTAGCACAGAATAAACAATAATGTGTTACATAACGGCAAAAGAAAAGAATTCCAGTTTCAGAAAAGAAAAGAGGTTACATTGTAAATGTGAATGTAAATGCTTATACGTCTAGCAGTTGAGCCATAAAACCCTACAACCTTTTTACGCTTAAAGTACTTGGCCGATCTGATTCAAACGATAAAAGATAGCTCAAGAAATTGATATAGTACCTACGATGTTATAAAGATTTATTTATTTGTATGTGGATTATTTATTTGTATTCGTATATTATTATGTCGCTCTATAGGTAGGTAGTATTAAAAAAAAATTAGGAACTATATGTGTGTCAAAAGTCAATACCGCTATAAATGTATTCCTTTTTGTGAAGCTTAGAAATTACCTACATTACAGACTATTCAAATATTATAGAGAACACCAACAAACGGAACGTAAGTGATTTTTACACAAAAATATTTTTGTCGATGGCATAATATTATATTCTCACGAAATCACAGAGAGATAATGCTAAATGTAACGAAACATGGTGAGTCCACCTTTAAATGATTTGACGTTTCACGTCCTTATGACGTTTGTAATAAAGTTCAATTGTTTATAATACCAAAAAGATACAAAGTGCTAATCATGACCATAGTCTACGACATTCTGATGAATTAGCAACAAGACGTGTCACATTACACAACGTATGTGTTAATGCGTTCTTTAAATGTGACATTGTAAACAAAGTCCATAAATCGCTTACTATACTAGAAGCAGATGTTATTCTAGTAACGTTGCCCTTGTATCTCTATCTACATATATGTATAATTAAAAAGGAATTACTAAATACGTTGCCGAGTACAAATATTACAAACGAGCAATTTTTCTCGAAAAATGAATTGCCAAATAAATCCAGCCGAAAGAAAAAGATTCTTATAAAGAATCAAACAATTAGAAAAATTACCTGAAATAACGTAGAAATCCGATTTTTTTCCCCGTGCGTTTTCCTAGCTGCTAATTCAAACATTTCAATTAAATAATAACGTCAAAGTTTTGTATTTAACAATATATTTAGCGATTCATTTTTTATAATTAGATATCTTAATATATAAAAATCCTGTATCACGATGTTCGTTCATGGTAATCTTCGAAACCACACAACCGATTTTAATCAAATTTTTTGCTTCTTTGCTCCATATTGAGAGATAGAGGTTTTTTTATATTGATAATAAAAAATTAACGCGGTAGGTAGTAGTAGAGGGAAAATAACAATCGCGGAACAACTAGCATTTATATAATAATAAGCGCATCAAAAAGTAATCTTCATTTAGTTGCAAAGTCATTTTATTCACACTAGATTAAATCAAGTATCTTATTCAAGTCACCTTAGACAATATTTTTATATCTTCGTGAATAACAAGCAAGCGATGAGATGTTTGGTCTCGTAGTACCTACCTGTCTTGTTTGGCAAGAATTTTATTATAACATTTATTCTATGATAAAGATTGCGACCCACAAAAAAAGCGACTTCAATTGTGAGAAAACCAGTTGTTTTGATCTAAAAATTAAACTGCTGAAACAATTTTCATAAAATTCTATATGACCAATCTGTAAGTAAATGTTTTCAAATAAAACGAAAATTTTACATATCGGTCTAGAAGCAATAAAGTTATGAGGTAACAAAACATAAAAAAATACGACCGAATTTAGAACCCCTTTTTTCTGAAGTCGGTTGAAAAGAACATTGCGAACGTGTAACTGCCTAAAAACTGAGTGTAATAGTTTCAGGATTCATGATACGTAATATGTATGACGTGTAAGTACGTGACTTTCTTTATTCCATACTAATTTCTATATACTTGAATAGATTTAAATGTGTCTGTGCCCCACCTGTGTACCTGTGTGTGTACCTATGTGTCTAGACAAAATATCTATACTATTTTAGAGAGATATCAAAAGTATCAATGGACTAATTGCTATAAATATTTATAAAAAATATTCTTGTAGGATATTTACATATGCCTACCCTAGAAAAATATTTAAGCATTCTCAATTTTACCTCGATAAATATAATCCTATTCTTGAATCAAATTTGTTCACGTGCGAGAAATCCCGCCTGACGACGTATCTCAGACGTTTGCATTCTATAAATTTCATCGTCGGTCATACTGTTATATACCATTTACATTACCACTTAAAAATAAACTATGTACTTCTGCAGTGATAAAGAAGCAGCAATGTAGAATGTATTTGTTGCTACATCGTTGCATA